CAGAGCCACACCGGCTGGGCCTTGCTGGTTTTCACGAAGCAGGAAATATCGTGTGTTCTCCCCACCGATGGATTCCCTGGATGGGTCACCGGTGTCATCTGCCCACAGCGAAGTGGCCCTCATCTTGGTTCCTTGTTGTCCTTACTGGTAAAATAACTTTGACAACACGCGGCCGCCCTGTCTTTGATGCTGGAGTCGGCATTTCAGAGAACACGCTCCGTCCGTGTGAACATCCGTGACGATGAGAAACGTGCTGGGACCCATGCTTGTCTTCGGGGTCTGGGTGGGTTTCCTTCCTCCTGAAGTTTCAAGGGTGTAGCCAGGGAGGTTAGGGTCACGCGGGGAGAGCTAAGCTCCCCGGGGCGTGGGGTGTCCTCAGAGCCCTCAAAGGGCGGGTCGCTCCAGCTACTGCCTGGGACTTGGCTCTGGGGATCTGGGTGACATTCAGCCTGAGCTCATCTCCTAATTCTGTTTTTGTGGCGAAAACGCCTCACCAAGCACCTCGCTGCCGGGACTCGACGGGGAGACGTCTTCTGAGAAGCTCTTAATCCTCTGGAATGAGTCAGAGAGCCAGCGTGTGAGGGCGTCTGTTTGGGGGGATGTGTCATAGCGATTGCAGTCTCTCTCACACACGGGATTTTGTACAAAAAGAATGTGCAGGCCCGGCCGGCGCGGCTCAGCGGTTGGACCTATGAACCCGGAGATCAGGGTTCGATTCCTGCTTGGGTCACATGCCCGGGTTGCAGGCTCGAACCCCAGTGGGGGCGTGCAGGAGGCAGCCGATCAATGATTCTCTCTCATCATTGATGTTTCTATCTCTCTACCTCTTCTTTCCTCTCTGAAATCAATACAACTATATTTAAAAAATTAAAAAGTAAATGCTGGTTAAATAAATGAGGGAATGAGTGAATAAATGAGTGAAGGAAGGAGCCAGGAGCTTGGCTGCAGCGTCTGGGGGAGAGAACAGGAGCGAGGAACCGCCCCCCTTCTGTGGTAGCAAGGGAGGGAGGACCCTTCACTGATGAACAGCCAGACTGAGGGTCCCGCCAGGGAGCAGACGTCCCCGGCTCAGCTCC